ATCGAATATGTCTGATACTACTCAGTTAGCCGATGCGTATTTGCTTCAGTCAGCATTAAAGACTGACCCTCCTATCGATGTAAGCAAAGGCAAATCCGTTGCCTACGTCGTTGATGGAAATCAAGGCTCTTACAACTCTGGTTTGATCACGATCGATGCCACTTCGCAGCTAACCGGCTCTCGCGGGTTCGGTTCGCTCAAAGACGCATATATTACCCTTCCTTATGTAGTTACGGCTAAGAGCACTGGTAGTACCGATATCGCTGAAAACATTAACAGATTCGCATGCGCCCTCAAATGCAATGTAGCTAATGTGGTTGACTCTCTGACGGTTGAGCTTAACGGGAAAAGGGTCATTACGGAGACTGAATTCAAGGGATTTTGGAACAACCTACGAGCGATGACTGAATTATCTCAGGATGAGGTATTCAAACACGGTGCTGATATGCATTTGTACCCTGATTCGTGGTATTCGATCAACTTTTCTGGCGCAGCTGGACCAACCGGCGATGGTTATTCGAATAACCAACTTGAAAAGGGTGGTAAGTTAGATAGTACGATTTCTCAAGCTCAAGAACCAATTCAGTTTAACAACGGGTTTTTCCATCGTCTATTATTAGCTCCACCTATCATTGACTCTACAGAAGCCACAGGCGCTAATAGTTGGGCGAGCATGGGTACTACAGCTACCAAGCAAATTTGCCAACAGAATGGCAAGGGCTGTTTCCGTGAGTACTCATACTCGAATATTACTGCTGCGAGTGGGTCAACGCAAGATGCTAAAAAAGGAGGTCAATGGTTTTACATGCTTAAGCTTCGATTAGTGGATTTGCATCCAATTTTCAAGGAATTAGACCTTCTAGCTAATCCTCAGCTGAAGCTTCGCCTCCGCATTAACGCTGGTACTGTTGAAATTTCTGGGACATCTACTTCGATGAGACTTGAGTCGACAACGATGACATCAGGTCAGACAGTACCAATCATGATCGCAAGTGCAGCGAGCGGAAATGCAAACGAAGGATTGCTTCA